CCCCTTACCTCCCCGCCCTTACTACTTACCAGCTAGAATCGGCTGCAGCTCCCTGCCGCAGCCACCGGGGACTGCCTGAATCAAAGCTCTCCGAATCTTTTCCGAAGATTCGGAGAGCTTTGAATAAATTCAATTTGGATTTGGAGATTTGGCCACTGAATTGAGCTGAATCTCCTCCAAATCGAATCACCACCTGAAGCTTCGCACAGCACTAGTACTTGCCAGAACCTTGCTGATGCATCTAGCATAGACTATTTAGCATCAGCCACATCCCCCACTAATTTCCCTTTTATAGATAGTGTGCATGTCTACATGAGACTCTAAAAGTGCAGTAGACTAATTCTACTGTACATTAACACATCACAGAAAAAGCTGTGCTACTGCATTAATGTGCAGTGGAATTAGTCTACTGTGCAATAGTGTCACTTAAAAGGCATACTACTACTACTAACAACTACTAATAACTACTGCACAGTTATTACAGGTACTAAATTTAATGCGCTGTAATCACTGTGCATTAATGCATGTGTGGATGTACTGAGTGAAACATAAGTGAAGAGTTCTGTCTTTTTTCTTTTTCGAACTGGCTGAGTGTATATTCTCCATTGGTTCTTCAATTCACTCTATGTTTTCCAAAGGAATAAATTACTCTTATCCTTTGCCTTGGGAAAAGGGAACATTTAGGGAGGAATTAATTATAAGATCATTGGTCTCCTTCAGCTCAGTTCTTTAAATACTTTCTCTGTTCCCTGTAAAAAAATCCTCCAATTCTTCTCCAGTTGTTTTGGTTTCCTGCCCTTCTTATGACTGTATCCCACTGATGATGGCAATGGGTTGACTCACTTTTAATACAACGAGAGGTTCCGCCCCCCCCACCCCGGGTAATATGAAGTGTATCTTTTCCAATTTTTATTTCCACGTTTGTTCTGTAATCCTTTAGTGGGAATAACACAATGACTGTAAGCCTAGAGTTTTACCCATTAATTTTAACTTTGTATTATCTGTAGCTACTCTCTTCAAGTTCCTTAGAATATTTCTGGCCACATAGTAGCTTGTGCATCAATACTGTACTTGTAATTAGCAAATGTCTCATTTTCTTTCAACGTGATAGTCCATCCATCTTGTGTTGCAGTGTCCTACTGCTTCTATAATGAATTCATTTAAGCTAGCGGTGCTGCCAAACTCTTTGTCAAAGCTGTGTATACATTGTTAGGGCTTACAAACTCATGTAAAGTGATATAATACATTTCTTGTATCTTTTTCCCTATACCAGAAATTGTCTCAGATTATTGTTGGTGACACTGGCTGCATCTACATGAGATACTGACTGTGCAGTAGCCCATAACTACTGCACGCACAGTAGTGTTGCGTGGCAGGAAGCATGACACAGTGCTACTGCGCAGTAGTCACGAGCTACTTTGCAGTCACCATCACAAAAAACCTGTTTCTTGGCATGACTGTGCAGTAACTCTGGTTACTGTGCAGTCATTTAGTACTTGTTTATACAAGTACTAAATGACTGCACAGTAATGACTGCACAGTCAGCGTCTTGTGCAGACACGGTCACTGCATATGAAACTCCACATACTTGCTTCCCTCTAACTTTGAGGTTCACATAACTTTCAGACTCAAGTCTCATCTTTGTAGCATTTTAGATTATCAGTCAAATGTACAGCATCAGAGTGCTATTTATACTTCATAAGCTACATTGTGACTTTTGCGACCAATAAGCTCTTTGTCAAGGGATAAATCTAGATCTAGTACTTTTTGCTCCAAACCAAGGACAGGATTAGCCCTCCCAGAATTGTTGGTTTGGGTCTTCAGCTTCCAGGTGGTCACATACTCTTCTGCAGTTTCACCTTCCTTCTATACCCTCCTGATCTAACTAAGTCGCTTACAGAAAACCACATAACTTATGTTGATTCTGCCTTGGGCCTTTTGAATGTCTGTACCTAGCCTCTGAGTAAAAATATAACTTTCATGCATATCATGTGGAATGTCCTTATATTTTTTACTACAATTTTGCATTTAACCTCCTGCTCTTAAATTAACTGAACACTACTGAACGCATTAAGTGCATCAGAAATAACTTATG